CATGCCTGTAATCCTAGCACTTTGGGAGGCCAAGGTGGGAAGATCACTTGAGATCAGGAGTTTGAGACCATCCTGAACAAGAGTGTGACCTCATCTCTACTAAAAATAGAAAAATCAGCCACATATAAAAAGCAATTGTAGGCAATAAAAACAAAATGAGAGGTATTAATATGTCAGATATCAAACTATACTACAAAGCTGTAGTAATTAAATCCATTTTGTATTGCACAAAAATAGAATATGCCAGTGGAAAGATCTGAGAACCTGATATAAACATCCTCATATAGCCATCTAATCTTTGACAAGCAGACAAAAAATACTCTGGGAAGAATCCCTAATTCAATAAATGGTGCGGAAAACTGTTAGCCACTTGCAGAAGGCTGAAGCACAATCCACACCTTTCACCTCTCACAAAAATCAACTCACGCTGGACAACAGACTTAAACTAAGGTACGAAACTGTTAGAATTCTAGAGGAAAATGTTGGAAACACTCTCCTAGACATTGGCCTAGGCAAAGGATTTATGAAGAAGACTCCAAAGGCAATCACAGCAGCAACAAAAATAAATAAATGGGACATGATCAAACTAAAAAGTTTCTGCACAGCCAAAGAAACAGTCATGAAAGCAAACAGACAACCTACAGAATGGGAGAAAATTTTCAAGCTACACATCTGATAAGGGGCTGATAACTAGAATCTACTTAGAACTCACGAAAATCAGCAAGAAAAAATCAAACAACCCTATCAAAAAGTGGGCAAAGGACATGAACAGAAACTTTTCTAAAGAAGACAGAATAGTGACCAACAAACACATGAAAAAAATGTTCAGCATCTCTAATCAGGGAAATGCAAATCAAAACCACAATGAGATATCACTTATCTCCAGTAAGGATGGCCTTTATCAAAAAGTCCCCAAACACTAGATGTTGGTGTGGATGCGGAGAGATAGGAACACTCCTGCACTGCTGGTGGGACTGCAAACTAGTGCCACCTCTGTGGAAAGCAAGATGGAGATACCTTAAAGCGATTCAAGTAGATCTACTGTTTGATCCAGCAATCCCATTACTGGGCATCTACCCAAAAGATCAAATGACACTCTACAAAAAAGACACCTGCACTCAAATGTTTATAGCAGCACAATTCACAATTGTGAAGCTGTGGAAACAACCCAATTGCCCATTAATTCATGAGTGGATTAATAAAATGTGGTATATGTACATCATGGAGTAGTATTCAGCTCCAAGATACAGTGGTGATCTAGCACATCTTGTATTTTCCTGGATAGAACTGGAACCCATACTACTAAGTGAAGTATCCCAAGAATGAAAAAACAAGCACCACGTGTACTCACCAGCAAATTGGTTTTAACAGATCAGCACCTATGTGGACACATAGGAACTACATTAATTGGGTATTGGGCAGGGTGGAGGGGGGCGGGTATATACGTACACAATGAGTAAGATGTATACCGTCTGGGGGATGGTCACACTTGAATCTCAGATGGCGGGGGGCAAGGGCATTATTTGAAACCTTAAAATTTGTACCTCTATAATATGCTGAAATTAAAATAATAATAATAAAATTAAAAAATCAGCCAGACGCAGTGGCACATGCAAGTAGTCCCAGCTACTTGGGAGGCTGAGGCAGGAGGATCGCTTGAGCCCAGGAGTTTGAGGTTGCTGTGTACTACAGTGACGCCACCTCACTGTAGTCTGCTCAACAGAGTGAAATTCTGTCTCAAAAAAAAAGTTAAAATGGTCCTGTGCTCATAAAACCTTTAAGGCAGCAGAAAAAAATAAATCTAAAACCACCAAGGAGTCTATTCGGTTTCTATCGATAAAACACTGTTGAAGGTAAGCTCACAGCCCCAAATTAGAACACCTGTGCTCACAATGTACCATGCATGAGAGTTTGCATACATTACACACAGGAAGACATTCCCTAGATCCCCAAAAACCTGTGTGTTTTTCTACAAGAAGAAAACAAAAAGATGAGAAAGAAAAATGACCAGGCATGTTTTTAAAATAACCAGATACAAATTCTATAAGTAAAAAGTTTGATTATTAAAAGATAAGTTTAAGGAAGTTACCCAGAATATATTGCTGGGACAGGGTGGTAGTTTATTAAGAAATTTTTCAAGAAATACTGAAAGGCATGACACAGTGACTCCCAAAGAGGAAA